TGCTCTTTTCCTGGGTAGCTGCTATGGCATTTGTATTCTCTCCCCTCTGTAGACAGATTTTCTCCTACTGGTAGCTGCTTCAGTGGTGGGATGAGAGTGTACAGGGTTTGTGAGAGGTTGTTGGAGATGACAGACCCTTTACTTCTATCCTTGGCATGAGGTCTGCAACTCAGAGCTTACCTGTTCTCCAGCCCCCACAGTGGCAACTGTTCCAAGTGAGAACTACCTGGCTACCACAATCACTGCATTGCAATGGCCTCAGTCACTTTCCTGGAACAATGTACAAGGTGCCACACTGGTGGGAAATGTCCAGAAGAGCCACATTTGGCACAAATAGTTTGCTGGTTCTGATCTAATAGCAAACTATAATTTGTTGCAAAAGCAGAAGAAATTAGTTACCTTGCCATTTGTGAGGGAAGAAGGAATGTGGAGATAGGATTCACATGAACAAGCCTGGAAATTCTTTCAAGATGCATCCACATAGCAGCAGATCATTGTTTCCCATTACAACTGAACCATGCCTTTGATATGAAGTAGGTTTGCAAGCCATGGTTTGTACTAAATATGATTTTGTGTCATGTCTGAATTGACAAAGTATAGTTATGGTCTCAGTCAGGGGTTGATTAGAGTTACCCCTGTGCTGAAAGATCTGCATAATTCAAAGGGTCCTAAATAGCTTGGGACAGGGCCGGCTCGCTCACTAGGTGAGCTAGGCTCTCACCTAGAGCGCGGCCATCATGGGGGCGCTGGACTGAACCCTGCCAAAAGCCCCCTGCCCCTGCCAAAAGCTCATGCCGTGCGCTGGCCACCGCTGCCTCTTCACTCCCCCAATTCCCAGCCCAGTCTCAGGCCACCCCACCCCGCCCTGGTGGGGGGGAGGGGGAGGCAGCTCCCTGGGAAGCCCTTGGTGGGGCAGGGCCTTCTGGCCCGCCTCCTCTTCTGGCCAGGCGGGAAAGACGAAAGGCCCTGCACTACACAGAGCTGTTTACTTGACCGGCTCTGGGAAGGTGCTCCTTCTCCTCCTCCACAGGGAGCTCCGGGACAGGCGGGCAGACGGGGAGATGAGGGACCACAGCCAGCCAGCCAGCCGACCTGCCTGATGAAGGGCCAGCGACTGGTGCCCATCCGCCTTCCTCCCGACCCTCCTCAGGCCCCACCGGCTTCCCCTTCCTGTCTGTCTCTCTGGGGCGGGCAGCCGGAGGAGCAGGGCGGAAAGGGGGGGCTGAGGAAGAGTCAGTTTTGGGGAAGGGCTGCAGAGAAGAAGCCACATGGAGCAGCTGAGCAGCCTGCAGCCTGCTGA